CGTAAAAGACCTACTGCCCAATTATGAATGTGGCAGTGATTCTGAAACTGATTTTTAGATCTTTCTGTGTTGATTTCTGGCGCTGTTATAATTTAAGATCCAAAAAAGCTGCGGTTGGAAATTTGGAATTTTTGTTTTGTCGTATTTTATAAGGCATCTAGCTTAAAATGATCTCCTGAACTTCTTCTACAGATTGCGCCATTTTCAAATGAATACGGATGACATAAATAATATCGTAATAAAACAGATCAGAATCTTGGTGCATTTTTTACGTTGGCCGAGTCAGGCGAACGTAGTGAACAACCACAAATATCTTCTGTTGCAGAATATGCTGATAAATTAATATTTATTCAGATGACGAAGAATGCTGCTTTTCGCAGGAGAGTTTGCTGAGTCTGGTGGCGCCGGAACTCAGCTCGCTGATCAATTGCTGGTTGGCGGCATTGCGTGATTCCGCGCTTCTCTCCCTTCCACCTGAGTTCAAATCACAATTGCCACCAAAAGGTGGAGCATATTACACTGCTGAATGTGCTGACGTAAGTTCCACTTTTTTTTTATGAAGATTTAGGCTGTGAGCGAGCAGAACACATAAGTAAGTGTTTGCACCGTGCAGACGACCCAAGCAATAAGCAAAAGCAGTGCAGGCTACCCAAGTAATAAGCAAATTTATTCACAAACGGCAGCTGTGTTTGATAACCAAATCAAATTTAACAAATTACTGGTGGACTTAGGCACTAGAAGGCAGGAAGAGGCATAAGGATTTAGTATGTCCGGTTGGGCTGCCTAACAAACCGTTCACTTTTACAGTTTTGCAAAGAATATTATCGGTCAAGTTGGCCACCTATTCTGTTAGCCGCTTCCACATGGTTACGGCAAAACGATTTTCAGTCGCAACAGAATTTTGAGGTTTGGTTCACTAAATTTTGTTTTTTTATTTTGATGCTTGTTTACGGCGTTCAATTCTACGTTATTTTTTATTTCCAGCAGGGCTTTAGTGTATGCGATAAATTTTCTTCCTCCCTGAATTCCGTCTCTTTGTTTTACCTAGCTCCGAAGTGTGAGCATTTTTACCCACGTTGTAATTATCGCTTTTAGTAGCCATAAGACATAAAGAGGTTCTCCCCGAACATTCTTGTTTGTTTTGAGAACCCATAGTGAAAATGTTAGATCACAAAACCTGCATGATTTTGTTTCCTGAATTTTTGCAGAGACATCACAAGTTTGCAGCTTGAATAGGGTTCTGAGGCGGTCATTTTTATGAAAAAATCTCGCTCTAAAAGGCGATAACGAGAATCTTGGCTTTTTGCTTTAATATATGTACATATATGTATGCATATATAACCGTAGTTGGATTTGAAGTTAAGGGGCACCGAAAGGAGCGAAAAGCTCCGACAGTACGTCTTTTATTAAAGTTCCTCGAAATTTCACCTTCCAAGCTCCTAACTCAAATCATTTTAGCATTTTACTCCATATATACATAAATAAATGTGCACATATATATATATACATGTGTATATATATATATGTACATATATATATATACATATACATATATGTATGTATAAATATACACACATATACTGGCACAATGCCACAGTTTTGCTACGCGCAAAAAGAAAAAGAATAAGTTTAAAGAAGTAAGCGATGAATTATAAATTTGTAGAATGTCCCAGAGGACAAAAAGAGAGACACTCATTTCCATGTGATGCTTGGAATATGCATTGAAACGTTATGCTCTAATCGTACAACTTCCGAGGACACGCTTACTGTCCAGGTAATCACGTTAAACTTAGAGTGCTGGCTTTCTGTATCTTGTTGTGCATATTCCATGTACATACTTTGGTATTCATTACTTTCAAAAGTTGCCATTCAGCACTCTCCCCTCTCACATTTAAAAAAATTAGCCAGCTTTTCTTTTTTAGTTGTTATTTTTAGAGCATTATGTTTTATAACTTGTGTTTGCTAGAATTCGTTTAGCAATTTACCTAATTTAGCTATGTCTACGATCACTTAAAAACCTTCTGGCTTGCAACTGGTCGCGACTTCTGTTGATGAGAAATGTGCGGTTACCAATCGAAGTGGTGAATGTGCTCTACAGGTTTGAACTGATTTGTTATAGCTGTAATAAATCCACAATACCAATTGGTGCTCAGGCTGTAAACTTGAGCAGAAGACTGGCAGTGACCAGCATAAGGTTGATG